ATCTTTATTCCTTTTATTTCTTTCTCTTGTCTAATTGCTGTGGCTAATGTTTCCAGAACTATATTGAACAGGAGTGGTGATACTGGACATCTTTGTCTTGTTCCTAATTTTAGTGTGAAGGATTTCAGATTTTGACCATTTAGTATGATATTGGCTGTTGGTTTTTCAGAGATGACTTTTATCAGTTTGAGGTAGAGCCCATCTATTTCAACTTTCCATAGGGTTTTTATCATAAATGCGTGTTGGATTTTGACAAATGAATTTTCTGCATCTGTAGAGATGATCATATGGTTTTTGTCCTTGGCTGTATTGATATAGTGTATTACATTTATTGATTTGTATATGTTGAGCCATCCCTGCATCTCTGGGATGAATCCCACTTGGTCAGAGTGTATGATCTTCTTGATGATCCTCTGCATTCTATTTGGCAGTATCTTATTAAGGATTTTTGCATCTAGGTTCATTAGTGAGATTGGGTTATAGTTGTCTTTTTCTGTTGGGTCTTTCTCTGCTTTGGGGATCAAGGTGATGCTTGCTTCCAGGAATGAATTAGGGAGTATTGCTTCCCTTTCAGTTTCATTGAGGAGTTTAAACAGTAGTGTCAGTAGTTCCTCTCTAAATGTCTTCTAGAATTGAGCAGTGAAGCCATCAGGACCTGGGCTTTTTTAAATTACATTTTCAATTTCATTGATTGATATTGGGTTGTTTAGCATTTTTAGGCCTTCTTCGTTCAACTTTGGTAATTCATATGTATCTAGGAATCTGTCCATTTCTTCTGTGTTTTCCTTTTTATTGGCATATAGGTTCTTGAAGTAGGTATTGATGATCCTCTGGATTTCTGCTGGGTCTGTTGTAATTTCACTCTTTTCTTTTCCAATTTCATGGATTTGGGCCTTTTCTTTGCTTTTTCTGATAAAGTTGGCTAAGGGTTTGTCAATTTTGTTTATTTATTCGAGCAACCAACTCTTGGCTTCATTGATCTTTTGTATCATTCTCTTAGTCTCCATTGAATTGATTTCTGCTCTGATCTTTATAATTTCCTCCCTTGTATAAGCTTTGGGTGCATCCTGCTCTTCTTTTTCTAGAAGCTTGAGGTTCATCATCAGGTTGTTTAACTGGGCTCACTCTGTTTTCCTAATGTGAGTATTCACTGCTATGAATTTCCCTCGTAAGA